ATTACATAATTTCGTTTTTAATAATTTCCTAAATTAAAATACCGTGTATTAGTACTGTGTATTAATACCATGTATTGGTACCACGTATTAAATAAGTATAATAATGGAAAGTTTTGAACATAATTTTGTTTTTAATAATATTTTATTTCCTTTTTATTAATATTAAAATAAAATTATAAAGTTTTATAATAGTTTATTAATACCGTGTTTTGAACATAATTTCGTTTTTAATAATATTTTATTTCCTTTTTAATAATATTAAAATAAAATTATAAATAGTAATAACAGTTTATTAATACCGTGTATTAATTTCGGGAACTTAATGCCGTGTGATAATGTATAAATATACCATATTTATATGCAATCTTACCATATGTGGTTAAGACCATTTAAGTTTGTCATTACTAATTACCATATGGGGTTAAGAATTACCAAATTATATGTACCACGAAATGAGCGGGAAAAAGCCATTGCAAATTCATGGCTTTTTAAATAATATATAGATAGTAGAATTGAAAAGTACTTATAAATTTAATTTAAATAGAATGCTTTAGGTTAATTTATATATAAGAAATTATTTGGTGGTACCATCTAATCTTACATATTTATATAGAAACGATTGATTTTGGTGATCCATCGTTTAAGTGTACATTTTGTGGAGCTTTGTTATGGTATGAGGAAAGGGCTGAAAAGTCTAGAGTCTATGCACATCCAGAGTTCTCTATTTGTTGTATGAAACGAAAAGTACAACTCCCTCTTCTACAAAAACCACCAGATTTGCTCTTTAATTTGTTTAACGGTATTGATGCAAGAAGTTCCCATTTCATGACAAATATAAGAAAATACAATTGTATGTTTTCACTCACATCATTTGATGGAAAAATACAAAATTCACTCAATTATACATATATGATACCCAGAATGAAGTCTCAAACAAAATGAGTCATTACAGGTACTTACTATATCCACTATACTCAATTCATTCTTTATACATATGATTTACTGAATAACACAATAACATAATGTTTACATTTTTTGATACAGTAAAACAAATAAAGGATCGTTTACAGATAGAAATTTAGTCTAGGATTTGAAAAATATGATAGATCGGTATAATGTTTTAGCACAGACTTTCAGAATGACTAGAGACTTCATCGAACGTGAACCTTCTGCTAATGTTTCCTTGAGATTATTACAAACACGATGTCATGATTCGAGAAATTATAATATTCCCACGATGGATGAAGTTGCTTCCTTGATGGTGGGTGATTTCAATTCATCAGATGCCGGACAAGACGTCATTGTAAGGAAACAATGTATATTTTTACAGAGGATTGACGAGACACACTGTGCATTTCATACCTTTACAATACCCATTGTTGTTTCCCTAGAGAGAGGATGGATATGAAGAAGAAATTCCCATAAGGGAAACCTTTTTTATTGGAAAGGATGTAAAGCATCTAAGGGTATCAATAAGAGAATTTATAGAATTTCGCATTCATGAAAAGGAAAATGATGAAGGTATTGTCTTACGCACACAGAGGTTGTTCTTACAATATTTGGTTGACGCATTTACAATGGTAGAAGCACGACGAATTCAATGTGCTCTTACAAATCAAGATAAACTAAGAGGAGACGTTATGAGTGGCCTGGAGTAAGCTGTTATGAGAGGTGATACAAATCCGGTAACATCTGGACAACGTATTATCTTGCCAAATTCTTTTACTAGTGGAATGAGATATATGTTTAACAACTGTCAAGATGCATTGGCGATATTTAGACGTTATGGATATCCAGATTTATTTATTACTATCACATGTAATCCTCGATGGACAGAGATTGCAAGACATATGACTAGAAGCAATTGTAAGGCAGGAGATCGACCGGACATTGAGTCTGGAGTTTTCAAAATGAAATTAGATCACTTAGAGAAGGACCTTAAAAAAGGAAAAATATTTTGGCATTTTCACTAATTTCAACATAATTATGGGTGTTGGATTCAATCTTCTAAAATTATTGTGTTAGTTTTTGTTGTTAATAATGAAGCATTAAAATTTTTTCTTGGGTTTTTTGGTTAAAATATGGATTTTTGGTTAATATATCAGTCATAAGTTAACGTGCCATGTATTTTGCAGAACTTGACATCTTGACAAATGATCTACAAAATTTATGCTTGATTGAGATTTAAAAGTTACCGAATTCAAACGGACGCTCTTTAAAAGAGTTTGGTGACATGCCATTTCCAGTTGACGACCCGTTGAATATGTTTCAAAATAATTTCTTAATCGAAGATTTAAACTAAGACAAAGAAAAGTTGTCCACTGATCTCAAAGAATATTTATCAACAATGAATGACGATCAGAGAAAAATATACGATGAGATAATAGAAGTTGTGGAAGCTGCAAGAGGAGGTTTTTATTTTGTGTATGGTTATGGGGGAACTAGAAAAACTTTTCTTTGGAAATTATTATCCACTGTGCTTAGATCAAATGGTAAGATTATTTTAAATGTTGTGTCCATTGGAATTGCAGCTTTGCTATTGCCAGGTGGTAGGACAACGTATTCAAGATTCTCGATCCCTTTAACGCTAACTGAATGTTCAACGTGTGCGATCAAACAAGGAAGCCCAAAAGCGGAATTAATTCAAGAAGCAAGTCTTATAATATGGGATGAAGCATGTATGATGAATAGATTTGCTTTTGAGGCGTTAGATCGCACCTTGAGAGATATTATGCGGCTCTCTAATAAAAATGCTACAAATGAACCTTTCGGTGGAAAAACAGTTGTGCTCGAGGGTGACTTTCGTCAAATACTTCCAGTTATACCAAGAGCTTCAAGAGAAGAAATTGTGGAAGCTGTACTGTGAATTCATCAATTTGTGGTCCTATTGTAAAGTATTTACATTGACTAAAAATATGAGATTGCATTTATCTTCGTCCAGCCTCGCAGACAGTGACACACATCTTTTTTCTGAGTGGATAATCAAGATTGGAGATGGACAACTTGGCGTGGTTAATGATGGAATTGGTGAAATTGAAATTCCACCTGAATCCTTGATCCTGAACTCAAGTTCTCTACTTTAAAGTATAGTGGAATTCACGTATCCAAACTTATTGGAGAATATGAAAGATTATACTTTTTATGGATAGAGCTTTATTAGCATCCACGCTTGAAGTTGTTGAAATTATCAATGATTTTGTTTTGTCTCTTATACCTGGAGATGAAAAGGAGTATTGGAGCTCTGATTCTTCAGGCCAAGCAGATTCTGATATAGGCATAGATGGTGATTGGATAACGACTAAGTTTTTGAACGATATCAAGTATTCTGGGATTCCAAACCACAGAATTGTTTTGAAGAAAGAGTACCAATTATGTTATTAAGAAATATTGATCAAACATCTGGGTTGTGTAATGGTACAAGGTTAATAGTTGAAGAGTTGCGAAGAAATGTTATTGGTGCAATTGTTGTATCAGGAAACAATGCCAGTGAGAAAGTTTACATACCAAGAATGAATTTGATACTGTCAGATCCTGGATTATCGTTTAAGTCTCAAAGAAGACAATTTTCAATATCTTTATGTTTGGCATGACAATCAATAAGAGTCAAGGCCAAACATTATCATTTGTTGGATGATTCTTGACCAAATTGGTATTCACTCACGGTCAACTTTATATTGCAGTTTCACGAGTGAAAACTAAGAGAGGATTGAAAGTATTAGTTTTAGATAACAACGGTAACCCTTGCAATTGTACCAAAAAATGTGGTTTACCCTGAAGTTTTTCAAAAAATTTGGATTTAATTGATACATTTATACTTTCTTTTCAATTTTATATACATGAATTTTAGTTAGCATACTCTGTTTATGTCGTATCTAACATTCTACATTATATTTACTTAAAACAAAAAATTAATAGAGTTAAAAATAACATGCGTTCAACCCCGTGCGTGGCACGGGTTAAATACTAGTGAGTTTATAAAATTAAAAGGAATGTTGACGGGTCGATAAACAAGTACAAGGCAAGACTCGTGGCAAAAGGCTATGTGCAACAACTTAGAGTTGCTTTGACGAGGTATTTGCTCCCATTTCCCGACTAGAGACAGTTCAGTTACTTATCTCTCTTGCTGCTCCAAAGGGTTGGGAGTTCCATCATCTTGATGTAAAGTCAACTTGCATGGATATTTAAAAGAGTAAGTCTTTGTAAGCCAACCGGATGGGTTTATTAAGAAACCAAACATGGTTTACAATTTATCAAAGGCTAACCGGGTCTAATCTGATGATCATATCCAAGTTCAAGCAAGCTATGACTGAAAAATTTGAAATGTCAGATTTGGGAAAGCTTACGTATTACCTCAGGATAGAAGTGTTGCAGAAAGCGAATGAGATACAAATAAAGCAGGAGGCGTATACAATGAAGATTCTGAAAGATGCTAGAATGATAGACTGCAATCCAACCTATGTGCCAATGAACCCAAATACTCGGTTATCAAAGGAGGACGAGGATGAAGTTGATGCCACCGAGTATCGCAGATTAGTTGGATGATTAAGGTACCTCTTACAAACCCTGCCTGACTTGGGTTACTTGGTTGGGGTTATAAGTATGTACATGCAATCTCCAAGACGATCTCATATGGCAGTCGCTAAGCAAATACTTTGTTACTTAAAGGCTACGGTGGGTTTTGGCATAAGGTACGCACGATACAAATTAGTCAAGTTAGTCGGTTATTATGACACTAGTCACTAGGGGTGTTCATCGGGTCAAACCCGGACCGGACCGGGCCCAGACCGGGACCGAATAAGGGGCATTTGGTGGACCGAGGACCGGACCGATTAAGCTAAGGACCGGGACCGGACCGGTAAAACCCGGACCGGACCGGGACCAGACCGAATAATGTTACTTTTAATTTTTTTTTTAAATTTTATTTTATTTTTTTAATTTAAAGTATTCAATTGAATAAAAATATTACTACAACTAATTTTTAATTGTAACATGCACTAAACATTATCAAACACAATCCGTATTGCATAAAATCTGTTCATAATTTTTATTTTGCATAGGGAATATACTTCTTCTTAGTACATTTTTGTTTTTTTGTAATATTTTTTTGAGTTTCGAATTATTTTGACCAACAGATACATTTTTTACTATTTTTGTTCATGAGATTGTTTACAATGTTTGTCCTGNACCGGGACCAGACCGAATAATGTTACTTTTAATTTTTTTTTTAAATTTTATTTTATTTTTTTAATTTAAAGTATTCAATTGAATAAAAATATTACTACAACTAATTTTTAATTGTAACATGCACTAAACATTATCAAACACAATCCGTATTGCATAAAATCTGTTCATAATTTTTATTTTGCATAGGGAATATACTTCTTCTTAGTACATTTTTGTTTTTTTGTAATATTTTTTTGAGTTTCGAATTATTTTGACCAACAGATACATTTTTTACTATTTTTGTTCATGAGATTGTTTACAATGTTTGTCCTGTGGATTAGAGTTTTATTATTGATAAAATACAAATTTAAGTTATAGTATTGGTATATAAATTTGAAATGCATTAGATCGCTAATTTAAAGATAATTTTTACCTTTTCACACTTTTCATATTAAAAATATTTAAAAATCATTACAATTGGTATCTTATTTTAAATTGAAATGTATTTAAAAAATTGTATTAAATAATAAAATCAAAACATTTAAAAAAATTTAGCATTAAAGTTAAACTAATTTTAAGTATAAGAAAAAACATTAAAAAATATTTAAAAAAATAAAATCTAACCGGTCCACCGGTCCGGACCGAAACCCGGTGGACCGGACTGGACCGGACCGGAACCCGAATAAGGAAAGAATGAGGACCGGAGACCGGACCGAATAAGGACCGGTCCGGTCCGGTTTTGGCCGGGTTTCGGGTCGGTCCGGGTCCGGACCGAATAATGCACAACCCTAGGAGTCACAATGCAGACCCTGAATACGGGCGAGTACGACAAGGCATGTTTTCTATCTTGGTTCGTCTCCGATGTCACGGGTTTCACACAAACAAGATACAGTAGCACTTGTCTCATGTGAAGCTGAGTACATGGTAGCAACTTTAGCCAGTTGTCAAGCAGTGTGGTTGTGTATGTCATTAATTGACACCACCTGCTCATATTTGTAAGTGGTAGTATTACGGATTGATAATACATCAGCGATAACATTTGTAAGGAATCCAGTGTTCCATAGTCGAAGTAAACACATAAACCCCTGTTACCATTATATTCGGGAATGTGTGGAACACAATGAGGTTTTTGTGAAACACGTGACTAGGAAAGAACAAAGGGATGACATTCTAATGAAGGCGTTTGCTCGGATCAAGTTCAAGGAGATGAGGATGTTACTTGGAGTTGAAGATCTCCCGAAATCCAACTCCGAAATTAGGGAGGTGAATGAAGGTTGATTACCTAGTTGGACTAGGAGTACGAACCCGAGATGTTCTAGTTCTAGTAGGAATAAAATTATGGGTTGTAGGCTTAATTAGTTCCATATATATCCTAGCCAAGCTTAGGTTATGATATGAGAAACATATGAGAGTTTATTGTAATTGGTTTTGAATGTTTTTCCAGTTATAATAAAAGTTTTTTTTTCAAATCCCAGTGGGGAAACCACCAAGCTTGGTGGGGTAAGATCTAGGCAACCCTTACCGAGTTTATTAAGATACTTTCGTCACCACAAAGTGAGGGGAGGACCAAAACCAAGGCCTAATGCCAGCCCCTCATACGGAAGACAAACCTTCCGGGGAGTACAATAAGTGGGGAAAAGGTGGGGGAGCCTAGAATAAGGCTTGACCAGAGCCACAATAAGGTCGAAACTAGAACACCTAGTCTAAAGCTTGACCAAAGCCAAAATAAGATCCCAACTAGCAACATCACTAGTCTAAGGCATGACCAGTGGACACAATAAGGTCCAAACAACACAAAACTAAGTAAGCAAGACATGACCAGAGTCACAAAGCAAATGCCAAAGTCACGCAATGATGCCATAGAAACACAAGGGAAGTGGACAAAACTCCAAAGGAGAAATAAAGTCATTCCAAGACGACCACTTCCCACTTCACAAACCACACATACCAAGATTAGGAAAAGGCATTCTGAACTCACCCATAATACCAAAACTTCTCCATAATCCCAGTATAACTAGTAATGGCTTGAAATATACTTCAACCCCACGCAAACACTATCCCCTAGCAAGATAGGAAAAGGAAAGTGAGCTCACCCACAATCCAAGTTCTCCGTATCCCTAGAAAGATAGGACTGCATAATCAGACAGAAGAAGAGGCAGCAAAACTGGAAATGCGCTTAATGTCATGTTGACATAGTGTCTGGCAGAAAGCTGGCAAATAAAAAATGCAGCAAAACTCTCAACTTGGATGTAACTTGAGAAATTGTAACAAGTCTTTAAAATCTGCCTCAAACTGAATTTTTTGAAAACCAACATTTAAACACCAAGCAAGAATACTAATCAAGATTTCAAGGGTAGCCTCCAATCTAGTATACGTACCCCTGATACTTTGTGCATGTAAAAAAGCACCAGTAGGATCCCTAATCACAGCTGCTGCATCACTCCCACGGTTGGAGTGCTAATATGCCACATTAATTTTAACACTGTGCAGGGGTGGGGGTCCCTTAGAGTCCTATTAAAAGAAAAATGTTTGGGCAGAACACCTTGGAGCTGAAAAACAGCTTTCCAATCAGGAAACGAGTGGAGGAGAGAAGGCCATTTCCTGCATACCACCTCTGTTGCCCCCCTCCCAACTTTAAAAATAACTCTTGCAACATTGACTTGCCCTTCTCCATACTTAAGTGCAGCATAGTGAACCCATAGTTCCCAAAGAATATGTACCGGAATACATTGCTGTAAATAAGCTTTGACAGTAGGCTTCATAGAATGTGTTTGTGAGCCCCACCAAGTCTCTAAATGTTGTGTGACAAAAGAAGCCATATCAAATAGACCAAAGATGTCATAAAAGTATTGCCATACATATTGAGCTACTATGCTCTAGGAGAAAACATGCTCAGTAGTTTCGGAAGAAGGAGTATCACAACACAAGCACTTGAAAGGCAGATTGTAACCAAATTTTTGCAAGGTGGAATCCAGAGGCAAATTCCTAAGCAGTATTCTCCAACATAGAAAGGACACCTTAAAAGGAATATGTGTGTTCCAACATTTTTGAAGCTGCACAGATGCCTGCCCACTACAGCCCAAGAAATGTTTGGCAGCCTTAAGTGTAAATAGACCATTAGACATGGGTTTCCAAATGGCTTGATCTGATCTGTTGGCCCCCAACCCTGACAGATCCACATTAAAATGGAAAAGAAAACCTGGATCCATAAGTTGCTGTAGTTGGGCAAAATTTAGATTGTTATTCATTAAATAATCTTTCAAAAGAGCAAGAAGAAATCTCCCATTCCCTTGGTTGGTGACACGAGCTAAAGCACCAAGCCCTGTCCAATTATCCCACCAAAAACTCAAGGAACCATCATATATCTTCCAAAAAATATAAGGTTCAATAAGGTTTCTAATAAACACCAACCTTTTTCATATATGAGATTCACCATATTGCCACACCTTTGCCACAGGATGGACTCTCTGACAATATTTGGCTTTCATAAATTGAGTCCATAAGGTGTTGGTTGTTCTAAAATTCCACCACAACTTAGCACTACAAGCATCCACCATAGTTTGCATTTTAGTAAAGCCCGAACCTCCCTCTTTAACTGGAAAACTCATAATAAAAGTTTGACTTTCTTAAAATTGTGTTTACTCCTACAAATTAAAACTATGGTAGCATATTACTCTCGTTTCACAAAATAATTCAATTTTCACTCTGATTGATGTGGCCTAAATGGTGAAAATAATAGCCACATCAAGAAGGTGAAACGAGAGTAATATGCTATTAATATGCCGTAAGCATATTACTCTCGTTTCAGCAAGAAGGTATTTTCACCCACCAATAGCCACACATTTTGTGGGGGGCTTACGGCGGGGTGGGGGTAGAGTGGGGGGTTTAGGGGGTGGGTTAGGGGGTAGTAACCGTCAATTTTGCGAACAGAGCACCGGAGGTGCCCCAAAATACCAGTGGCACCGCTAGTGGCACCGTACTCCGGTGTCACTAGAACCCCACCGTATTATTATTATTATTATTATTATTATTATTATTATAAGTGAACATATTTGAACAAGTTTGACCAGTCGGCGGATGAAATTGGTCCAGTTGGGTGTCGGATCCGCGTCGCCTCCAAATTTGAGAGCATTGGTTCTAAATTTGGCAACTTTCCTCATATTCAACCTCTTCTTCCCTTCTTTTCTACAGAATGAGCACGTAACCCACTACCATCTCCATTCTTTTCCATAGAATGATCACATGTCCCATTGCCATTTCTGTTTCCTCTAAGCTGTGGAGCTTCCAGAAGCACCAAATATTCATCTCAAATCCAATCCCAAAGAACCCACCGCCGGTAAGTTGGGTTTGAAACTTTGATCCTTTTTTAATGCTCAAAAGATGCAATCTTTTGTGGAAAGATAACTTCTTGAGTTGTTTCTTGATGGTCTTTGGAAATGGTTGATGGGGACTAAGGTCTATTTACTAAAAATAGTTTTTTTTAAAAATAATATCTCTTGGGTTTTCCATTGGTGGAGTTATCTACAACATCTAGTGGCTTCTTTTAGGGTTTCCCATCAACATATTAAAGAAAGGAATTTGAATGTGTAAGATCTTGTTCAGTTCAATCTGTCTTGGTTTGATAGAATAATAATGCCCATACTGTGGAGATGTAGATGAAGTTGGGGTCCCACACTTAATGACGCCTTTGAAATTTAATGGTGGTCGGCATTTGATGTAGATTTGTCAAATATTTAGAGATGTGCTGTCTTTTTTTTTCTAGAATACATTTTGAAAATACCTTCTTGCTGAATGCTGATTGATGTGGCCTAAATGGGGACAAATTTCTATAGTAGTGAATGTTGATGTAAATGGTTGCATTTGGTGAGACTTAACAGGTGCAATTCTTTTTCTATTATTTGTGGCAGGATTGGAAACAGCCTCCCTACTTCCGAGTAGGGGCAAGGTCTGCGTACACACACCCTCCCCAGTCCCTACTGAAGTGGGATTCAATTGGGTTGTTGTTGTTGTGGCAGGATTCTGGTGTCCTTTTTTTTATATCAGGATTCAAATCCTACATATAATATGCGAAGTACTCCATATTTAACATTGCCAAGACCTTTCCTGAAACACATTCTTGCAATACAAGGATTGATCAAGCTTCATTTTAAAGCTGTTATCTTCTTGAAAATCTCTTTTGATAACTTGTCACATACTGGTTTACCTTTACACACATGTCTCAAATGAAACTTATTCCGAAAACGTCTTTGATTGATCTAGTGGTGTGCCTCAAGTCTTGATGTTTCTTTCCTATGTTCAAAAGGGCTTCTCTTTTTATATTAAACCCGTTTGATGTTTCTATATTTGTTGATTAGAGTTTAATGGATGTTGTGCACAGGCTTGAAATTGAAACAGGAGGTTGGGAGATAATTCCTCAACTCTTTGAATCATGAAGAAAGAAATCCTATTCGTTCCTTTCATTCTCTTCCTAAATCTGCTACTCCCCGATCCATCTTACAGTGCCCCAAGAGCTCAAAAAGTAAAACTCATTTGCGGAAATCAAATGGAGCACAACACGACAGCTTTCGTGCCAAACTTTGTCAGTGTCATGGAAAACTTAAGTGATCAAATGCGAACCCGTGGGTGGGGACTTTCCATAGCTGGCTCTGGTCCAGATTCAAACTATGGATTGGCTCAATGCTATGGGGACCTTTCTTTACTTGACTGTGTTTTGTGCTACGCGGAAGCACGTACATTGCTCCCCATCTGCTTTCCTCACAGTGGTGGAACCATCTATCTCGATGGCTGCTTTATGAGGGCTGAGAATTACTCCTTCTTTCAAGAGTATAAGGGACCAAATGATACGCGGGTGTGTGGGAGTGGGACCCCCAGAAAGGATTTCTCTTTCCAGAAGGCGGCTAGGAAGGGGGTGATGCAATTGGTTTCGGATGCTCCCAACAATAATGGCTCTGGGAGGGCTGAGCTGGCAGTGCCTGGGAGACGGAACGAGTCGGTTTATGTTTTGGGGGATTGTTGGAAGACTCTGAATGTGAGCTCTTGTAGGGCGTGTTTGGAGAACGCCTCTAAGTCCATGCTGGGGTGCTTGCCCCGGTCAGAGGGCCGCGTGTTACATGCAGGATGCTTCATGAGGTACTCAGACAACAACTTTCTTAATCCTGTTTCAAGTAACCGCGGCTCATCCAGAGGTAAAAATCACACTAGCTGTCTTGATGTAGTGGATCTTTCTAAATTTAAAACTTAAACAAGCCCAAAAAAGTGCCATCTAAAAGCTGTAGTATTATTTTAAAAAGAGATGTTTGCAAAATTGTGCGTCTAATTCTGATTCTGCGACGGTTTCTTTGCAGCGAGTGTAGCTGTCATTGTAATTGCAACTGTTAGTTCTGTGATTGTGTTGGTTCTGGGATTAGTTATTGCTCTATATTTCTTGAAGCAGAGAAGAATAGAGAAGAAGAGAAAAGGTAAAAGCTTTAGTTCTTTACTTCTATAATGGAGCTCAATGCATGGGATAATGATTGCCATTTCTTTGAGAATGCCCGTTTGGTAGGTGTAAAATTAGGCTGAAATTTTTCTTTTTTTAGTGAAATCACTTTATCTGGTATCCAATCTGGATTGTGAGAACTGAAAACAAAAGACTGCCAGAGTGGGAGTTTTAGAAAATCTGTTTGGTAATTTGTAAAAGCGTGCTACCAAACGGGCACACAGTCTTCAAAATTAAATTCAAAATGACAACTTTTTATTCTCTAACTGTCCAGGCTCAAATGATGTTGCAAGACTAGTGAAAATCCTCCATGACAGCAGCTTGAACTTCAAATATTCCACACTCGAAAAAGCAACTGGAAATTTCAATGAAGCCAACAAGCTTGGGCAAGGTGGATTTGGTACAGTTTACAAGGTAACAGGTCTGCAAACCTCATCTGGAGCTGCAATCGATCGACTATCACTTTGGTGTGTGTCTAGTGTCTACATATATATATATATATATATATATATATATATATATATATATATCTATGTATGTATGTATGTATATATATATATGTATGTATGTATGTATATGTATATATATTTCCGACCCACACTTTGTAATTTGAGAACATTGATGCAGGGAGTTTTGGCAGATGGAAGAGAGGTTGCTGTCAAAAGACTCTTCTTCAACAACAAACATAGGGTAGCCGATTTCTACAATGAGGTCAACATTATTAGCAGTGTTCAACACAAGAATTTGGTGAGGTTGTTAGGGTGTAGTTGTGCGGGTCCCGAAAGCCTTCTCGTTTATGAGTATCTGCCGAACCAGAGTCTTGATCAGTTCATTTTTGGTTAGTTCTACCATTTTGCATCAATCTTACTTCGGCTATTATGTCAAACTCCTATGACCAATGTTGTAAAAAGAACTAGAATACCATTCTTATTTCATTTCTCTTTGTGATATTGAGGGTATAATATAAATACTTATTTACAGATCCTGTCAAGGATAGAATGTTGAATTGGGAGAAGAGGTTTGAAATAATTATAGGGACCGCAGAAGGACTGGTTTACCTTCATGAGAACTCAAAGAACCGAATCATTCACAGAGATATAAAAGCTAGCAACATCCTACTCGACTCAAGGCTTCGTGCTAAGATTGCTGATTTTGGGTTGGCAAGAACTTTTGAGGAAGACAAAAGCCATATAAGCACTGCAATTGCAGGAACTCTGTGAGTGACCCACACACAAAGTGTATTATCCATTCAAGTCAAACTACTCCCTCCGTCCTAAAATTAACTTCACAGTTTGACTTTCATGGTCAAACTTTTTGAACTTGGTCAAATTATTTCACACACAAACTGCATTGTCATTTGAGTCAAACTATTAAAATAACTTATGTGTCAAAGGAACCAAACTCAACTATAAGCTCAAGTTTGTGGTTGTAGGTCTAGGAAATGTTTTATACTCTTAGGCATGAGGTGACATCTTAGTCAAGAAGGCTCTTATACCAACCAACCACAAGTTCAAGCTTGTAGTTTTAGGCCCAACAATGGTTTTTATATTCTAACACTATGAAATTTAGTAGGATTGGCTCTCTTATCGGATAATTGTGTAGGGGATATATGGCTCCGGAGTATCTTGCACATGGGCAGTTATCTGAGAAAGCCGATGTTTATAGCTTCGGTGTAGTTTTGCTGGAAATTGTCACTGGGAGACAGAATAACAGGAGCAAAGCCGCCGAGTACACAGACAGCTTGGTGAATATTGTACGTTGAAAAGCCTCCGATCGTTGTTTTTTTTTTGAGTTCTAGCCTCTATTTCTTTCCCCAAAAAGGGTAAAAGACTATGTTTCCAAAAAAAAACATTCACATATTTTTATGTTTCTTGGTCGGGCAAAGATCTTTTGAACTTGAAACCTCGGGTCATATTATGGCCGAGCATCTTCACCCCACCCCTGCACCCCACTGCCCTCCTGAATCGCCGATTTGGGCTGCCCAAATCGTCGATTCAAGAGGGGGGCAGGGGGTTAGGAGGGTAAGAACCATTAATTTTACTAACGGAGCACCGTAGGTGCTTCGGGTCATATTATGACCCGAGGTTTCAAGGTCATATATTTTACTCTTGCATCATAGGTGTGGACACATTTTCAACAAAGGAGAGTGGAGGAGCTGTTCGACCCGAACCTGATGCTGCATAACTACCACAACATTGATGTTGAAGATGAGGTGTTGAGAGTGGTCCACATAGGGTTGTTGTGCACCCAAGAGGCGGCTTCGCTACGGCCATCCATGTCGAGGGTATTACAAATGCTAGCTAAGAAGGAGGATTTGCCCCCGCCGACGAATCCTCCCTTCGTTGACGAAAAAACCATGGAGCTAAACGATAGTTGGGACGCCGCCCCATCTTTCCCACTCAAAGCAAGTGATTATACCTCAATTGCCAGTGTTTCACAAAGCTCTTTTCAACCTAGATAAGATTTAAGAGTTGTATGTTAGTGAAAAAATGATTTATTTTATGGTACATATATATGGAGTGTTCCTATAGTATTGCTTTGTATAGAGAAATCATTATTCACATTGTGTTTCATTGGAAGTATAAATCAATGAGTATAAAAGGTTATGGGTGCTGACATCAATTTTGTCCTTCGCATGCCTAAATAGGTAAGTTGTGGTCAATTTTATTACTAGATGTTTGCAGTTTATCATTTCTGCTAGTTGTTTTAGGCCGTGTTTGGCCTTTAGCATTAACATTTTCAAAATTAATTTACATTATTAAAATATTACAACAATGCCTTAATGGAATTTCGTGTCATATTTGTATCCACTATTTAAAAAGAGTTTTAAGATGAAGTGGGTAGTTTTTTAGGGCGAAAAAATTGATTATTGAATATTTCCTTAAAATCAAACATCCAATAGAATTAGTTAGACTAAAGTTCTGGCAAATTATACTCCCTACGTCACAATTTAAATCGCATGTTGTTTACGAGTTTTGACTGAAGCTCTTTTCAATTCAATTCATTTAAAAATTGGTATGAAATTAAAAAATAAAATTTGCATATTTTAAATATATAAATTCTACAAAATATAAGGTGACAAAACGATATTATTTTCTCAAATGAGTAAATTAAAATAGAGGATATGATACAGCCGCATGTACGTTTCTCGTAGTACATCATGACAAACTTGTAATTAAAAAAATATTTCAAAATAAAACTACGTTGTTTCAGAATACACGCTATGCCGAGCAGATCTAAGAATGAACACTACAATTGAAAATGAACATTTCAATAAGCCAAAATGAACATTCTATTGATTCAAAATGAATATTCACGGGTTGTACCCAACTGTAGGTACATGCATATAGCCGGGTGTACAATATACATTCTCAAAATCTGGTGTTTTTTAAAGTTTAATTTTTGAATAATTATTGGAATTTGCAGAAAGGGAGAGAGAGAGAAAGAGTACTCCTTTTCCCACACCTGAGAATCGCAAATCAGTAATCCGGGACAAATATATGGGGATTGAGGCAACGTGCATCACTTAGTAAGTTGTGTCTTTAGAAATACAACTAGCTAATTATATTTAACTAAATACATTTGGCTGGAGTGTCTTGATACAGACAATTTGATATAATTTAATGACTACATGTATTTCGTGAATGATTTATTTTTACTTTTTATTGCTTGATTTTTTATTTTGCTTTTTTTTTGTTTATCAAGTACTTCCCAAATTTTCGTATTTGATCCAAATATAATTATATTTGAAACTATTTTTGATCTTATTGGTCTGATTTGATATAATTAAGAACAAAAAAATAATCTAAAATAAAAGTAAAACATACATCTCTAGTCTCATACTCTCCCGTCCACATTTTGATTACAATTTTATTTTCTCTCTGCTCTCGATAACTTTTGTTTATTTGTGTGTTTCCATTGATTATTTGATAAAATATAATATTTTTGTCATATCTTGTTTTGAAGACCTTTAGACATAGTTTTTAAATATATAATTTTTATTTCTTATTTATGTACCAATTTGTAAATAAAATGATTTCATAAATTGTGAGATTTTACAATTCTCATCTTGTAATCAAAATAGGGACAGAAAGAAGTATAACTTTTCTAGAATGGACATTTATATGAAAGCCACTTCATACGATGATATTCTAAGAGACAGGGAGAGAAAACCCAAATTTATGCAAAGGAGATCATGATAAAGAAGATTAAGAAGTGAAGGAGAGTGTGAGAAGATTTGTGATACTGAAGATTTAGGTGCATGAATAATAAATAAAGCAAGAAAAAATGTGCATGAGATCCAAGGTGAAAAACTAATAAGATCGAGACTCATATTAGAGAGAAATATATTTTCTAATTTTTAACTATTTTTATTTTGATAAAATAATTTGTATATTGATCAGAATGATATCACATGCTTGAATAATTTTACAAAAAAAAGAATAAAAATTTGCCAAATATTTTTTTGAATTTCCCTTAAAGACATCAACCAAAATAGAAGAAAAATGTTGTCTTTATTATCAAAATAGTTGTGGCATATTTCTTATCTCCAAAATGGTATTATTGTATTGTAAAAATGTAACACTATATATATATATATATATATATATATATATATATATATATATATATATATATATATATATATATATATATATGGGTGAGATCAGGTGAGAAAGGGTCCTAGTGAAAGAAATAAGAATGATGGAGAAGCATTAGATGAAGTGGGATGGATGGCTGTGATTGAACCATTACTTTTTAGTAATTATTAAATTGCAAATGGTAAGTGTGAATTACCGTGCTTAAAAATAGGGGATGGCTGCGCAAAAGGGCAAATTTGCCATTCGAAAGATCACACGTGCCCTCCCCAAAAAGGAATCCTGCTGCGTATCCCTTATTTGGTGCTACTTTCGAGTAGAAAGCGCAGAGGCAAATTGCATACCTCCATTAAACGTGCTCTTGGACTTGGAGTAGTCTTCTGCAATTCGGAGTCTAGTCGGTATGGCAACTGAAAAGAGAGCAGCGACGGAGAAAGAGGGGGCGGATACCAATTTCACCCCGCTGACCTCGACAGATGAAACAGGTAATGCTATAAACTTAATTTGTTGTGAATTTGTTTATTTGGGGGGGTTTGTAAATTGATTTAGTGATTGCATGTGTTGGAGTAGGGTTTCGGGTGTGTGTAGTATCTTATTTGGGGTATATGTTGCACCAAAGTTGATTTTTATGGTGTTAAATTTGGAATTAAAATGCATGAATTTCATTTGGTCATGAAATTTTTTTGGGGGGATTTATGCATGTTTGTATGGCTTTTGTGATAGTTAGTTTAAATTGATTATACTGAGCGTTTTGTTGCACCATAATTGAAGTTTGGTGCACTTTGTATTGAATTTCCGAAGTGAATTGTGAGACATAT